CGTCGAGGTGACTCTTAAGCTCTTTGACGCTTGGCAGGTTAAGGAGGATATACCCTTGTCCATCAGAATACCCGTCTGACAGTCTCACCCATGGCATGGCATGGGGGCATCACCATATGCACAATTCTAATTACGTTGGAATATTCCGCTTTACGCAATTAAGCTGACGATGGACAGCTCGGCCTCCGTCTAATATCAGATCATACCTATATCTAGGGATTGACGAGGAGCCTTCCTTCGACTCTATCAACAGCTCTCGAAACATACACGCACGCATGCACGCACCGACAGCTTAATACCCGGTTTATCACCATCTCGATACAAAACATGCTTTCCCTTATGAGTCAACGACAAACAACCATGATAAGGTAGCCGCCAATGCGACATGCCGCTCTGAGACATCTCCACGCCAAGCAGGCTGCCATACGAATATCCTATTCCAATTCCCCATACCGAACTTAATTAACCGTGAAGTAATGGAGTGAATGCAGGTAATATGAACGCATGAGTTGGCATGCATTGCCGAAGCGGATATCAGCCCTATGTGGGTAGGGTAGACAGACAAAGTGTCCAGGTAGAGATGCCAAACGAGGAATGCAATGCGATGGTGGCATGTTCTAGTAATAAGCCAACGTTGATACTACTAATTAATACCTGCAGATACACATCGACTTGTCCCCCAAGTATCGTACTTGAGCTCAGCAGAAGCTTGCAATGGATTTATGAAAGTCAACAAACCTTTGGAAAATATAGTCCTGGTTATACGGATAAATCAATTGCTCTCGATTTTTATCTTCCTTACCAAGACCAACTCCCTTGAATACTTACATGATCGATGATCGTTATCTCGTGTAACCATACCGTTTTGCTCCGGACCTCCAACCAGGCGATCATTGGCCAGAGCATGTTTATGACAATAATATTCGTAATTCATTAATATAGTAATCTAACCCTAAAGACCGACTCCTGCCAGTCAACTGCAATAGATCTCTTCAAAAGATCCTGTACATAGGTGGCGAGAGCCGCCTCTGATAGCATGTCGTGTAGAATGCGACCTTGCCGAAATGTTAGTTGCAAGAGTATATACGCAAATGCTAGTAATGGACTCTATAGATCGCCCAGCAACCAAGGCCGTCATCGAAGCCTTGCCTTGATAAGATGGAAGCCAGTGATATCAACTTTCTTCAGGGCTACACAGCACCCTTGCCTTCAGAATGACATTGCGATATTGCAAATGCCCACCATGCTCATCGCCATGCTTTATCACTCCAGGAAAAGCAACACAGCAAATCTCCCTCCCAGTCAGAGACTCTTCATCTTCACCACCCAAGTCTTCCATTGTCTCTGACTCAAACATGACCCTTTGATGTGGTAAAACGGTGGGCATGTTCACACGGAGGACGGCCTTTTGAACAGCGACAAGGCGCGCAAGCTCGATTGAGTTGTTCACAAGAACTCGTAGCCCGCTATCTCGAGCCTCGGATGGTGATGTGCCGCAAAGGGCATCGAGAATACGGGTTATTCTGCTTAGGATAGCTTCTGTGACGGATGATGTTGATTCCTTAAGAGATGAGCCATCTCTTCGGAGAAGTGAAAGGGTGGAGGAGCGCCATTGGTTTATGGCTTCATCAGAATCGGCTGCAAAAGTTAGTGATTGACCCTTATGAGTGGTGAAGTACATACCATATGAAGAAATGAGCTTTTCCAGCTGCCGAAACTGTTGTGTCTGCTCTTCTGATAGACCGACAAAGTAGGCGTCAAAGACCATCTCGACTAGTACCTTTGATACAATAGACTGCAAGAGGTAAACTTTGTGTGTCGATACAAGCTCCTCGTACATAGGCACAAGATCATTGACCTCAGCCAACGTTTCTTCATCCAGATTCTCCAGATCTGCACATGTCAGTACTTCTTCAACCTTGTCCTCAATGGCAATGCGACTTACTTATCTTGGCCTTGCGAAAGTTCACAATAACCCAGTTCTGCAATCCATTGCCTAACCTTGCCATCCCATCACCAAACACCTCGTCGCACTCTTGTCCATCTGTCCTTGTGCTATTACTCACCCACTCTTTCAGACCACGCACTTGCCCTCTTAGACCTCGAATCTCGTCATCTCGCTCCTTGAGCTCTCGTCGTAGAACCTCCCAACCCTCTCGAAGCTCTTCCCGTTCGCCTTCTCGGACTTCAACCTCGGCACGCAGCAGTCGTAATTCAGTATCTGTCCGTAAATATTGCTGGTTCAAGGCACTGTGCTTCGCTTGCCAAAATGTGGCTGTTTCGCTTTCGTTCTGGCTCAGCTTATCCAATTCACGATGGAACTCTCGCTCCATGATGCCCATCTCCTTCTCCAGATACGCGATCCTCTCATCCTTCTCTTTCAACGCAGCCTCGAGTTCTCGTTCCCTCTCTCTCTTCTCCCTCTTTTCTCTCCTTTCTTTGCGCTCCTTTTCGCGCTCCTTTTCCTTTGTGCTCCCGCTGCCTGTCACAGCGTTCTCCTTCTCTTTGAGCGGGGCACCGCCGGGGTTGTCGAGGGTCTCTTCGGGGTTCGCGTTGGCATTGGAGGCCATGGCAGCTCGGGGAGGCATAGCAGGCATGCTGTTTCGATTGTTGCTCGAGGCGCCGGTGCGCAAGGTATGGGCAGGTGAGGTGCCAGGCCCTGGACGGCGCTTTTCAGAAGTGTTCATTGCGGTAACGAGGCGGAGCTTTTGCTACAAGGTAAGATCGGATGTATAGCCCTCCACTGCAGAGGATCGTCAAGTCGTGGGGTCCGAGGCCAGGCGGTGCTGGTTCCGCATTGTCGCTGGCATCAAGTGCTGTATGGGATCGCAATGCTCGAGGTTTGCGTAGGCGTTATGTTGAAGAGATGACGTTTGGTTCCTGTATTTTGATGCCCGGAGGTGAGCGTTTGATTACTACCTTAGAATTCTAGGCGGCCGCCCACTGAAGGTGCGCTAATTCGGCTTGTCGCGAACCCAGTATCAGACCCCGGATCACTGATATGAAGTGAGATGAACGAGATAGTTCGAGTTTTATGATGGCATGGATTAATATAAGTTTGAAACATTTAATTTACAGCAGATTCTAGGCAGTCAGTGGAAGGAGCCTCTGTGTTATCTAGGAGCTTCTACGGATATTTACTGCCTTGATTCGATATTGCTGGTTATGCGGTCTGTTGCCGCTCTGTCAGCCTTTGAGCATCATGATACATGGTTGGTAATCCGTAGTCAAATATCAAAAGGATTCAAGCGGCAACCTAATGAAAACTCTGCTTATGTGGCTGGTTGTTTCATCAGTAAATTTCTCGGTTGTATCGCTATTCAGCTGCCTAACAAGACATCATGTCTAGGCTTCTTAGGCCAAGACTTCCAAAGCAGTATTCGCCTCAAGATGCTCACGCAACCTCCAGGCTTCAGGATTAGAACCCGACCTCAGCCACGGCCTCATAAGCTTCGTCGTCTGTCCCCTCAATCTTCTTCGCCCCCATTCGACACAGCGTAACCTTGTCAAGGGGCATGTCTTCCAACCAGACATAGTCATCATATGAACTGACAATGTCTCTGGCATCAAGCGTCAACTTCTCTCGTCTTCTCCCGCGACCATCTCTGACATAAATTGTATTAACAACAGTTGCATGGAGTACCAATGGCCTGTCCTCCTTGGCCATCAATCCAGCTTCCTGAAATGCCGCCTTGATCTGTTCACAGAACCTCTGCAGAATTCCCTCCGTATCAACCGGTGGCGCATAGAGCACCGAAGTCTTTTCGGCGTTCTGAAAAGCATGTAAGCCCTTGAGAGTTATTGAAAGCCCCTCTTCGGTCGATGTCATTCCAGCCCTAGCACTTGCCAGGCACTCCTTCAACTTCAAACTCTTCAACACCTCACTGGCCTGCTCAACGCCCTCATCCTCGAGGCTCATAACACCAAGTGTCAGATGCATCGTGCCGAGTGGACGCACTGCAGTCGGTGGAACACCAAAGCCAGAAGGATTCGTGACTTCTGTGTGGAAAGCAGCCAAGCTTCTAGCAAGCTGCGGCCCGGCCAGGGGAATGCATACGAAATGCGTCGGAGACACCCTGACTGGTTTTGGCGGCATGGCTGAAGTATCGAATTTGTCTTTCTGGGGCAATTTCTCGATCAGCCTCAGTGATAGTGTACAAGTGCAACTGCGAATAGATGATATGTGACAATATGTCTACGACGTGTCTTGTCCTGGGTGAGGTTATCAAGTGAAACGACAAGCATATATCGTGGGACTCCGCTGGCTGAATTAATGATTCAAAAGTCGAGCATACCCTGCAGTTCTAAAGGTTGTGAAATGACTAACACGCCATGTGCAACGTATCTGACATTGGTCTGTCACACCTCGATGATGTCAGGTGTTCGTATCAACTGAAATTGTATCCGTAGATCACGGACGGTAACCTAAGCTGTGTCAAGATTACCCCACCAATGTCAGAGCTCTCAGGGTCAGATCAGAGATGCAGCTAATCAGTCACATATCAACTAATCGTTAAGGTTTCAACAAAAAGAGAAAAGTGAACATAGATAGACCTCGCTGAATAGCAGTCTTTGGCCAATGCGCGTCAGAGTACCTTTTGCTCCAATCCCAAGCATTTTGTCAAATCTATCTACAAAGTCTGCTTCTGCTTCTGCTCTCAACAATGCGTGTCAAAAAGGCTGTTCAATTCAAAGAGGGGTGGAAAGACACTCGATGCCATTCCGCACTACCTCATAACGCCTTCAACATGATTGACATTGACCTGACGGGCCGTCCTCTAAGCCTCAAGCCATTTCAGGGCCTGGGGTATCTGCTTCGATGAACCCGGCCATTTCCTTTTCTGAATGTACCCAACACAACAAGTATTTGTCGAACCGAAAATGCTCCTATCGGGGTTTCGTGACAAGAGCCAAGTGGCAAGTCACGCCTGCAAAAGACTGCCTCCATTTGATCGTGAACGCGACATCTCCTAGGCTGTGCGATGATGGGAATAAATGCGTTATTCCCTTGAATCGTAGTACTGCCTCAAGAGCTTCTCGACCTCAGCGTAATCCGTTTTAACAGCTTTGAAAGCGTCTTTGATGTGCGTTAGACAAACCTCCGAGTCATCTTCAGGAGAGCCGTCGAGCTTTTCGTGTTTGCCATAACGCTGAATCTTTTCGCAACCATCCCTGATTTTGATGAGTCCGAGGGTCGCTGATGAGCCCTTGAGGAAATGTCCAAGAGATGAAAGCTTATCAAGGTCTTCCTCTTCCCTAAGTGATGTCGACACAAGGTCAGAAATTAGCCAGTTTTCCCAACCATCTATGCAGCGCTTCATGTTCTCAACTCACAATGCCTCCTGTATCTGGTCAAAGGTCTCTTCTGCTTGATCGAAGAAGCCAAATACAATAGAAGAGCTGAATTCACAATCGCCTGGCTCATCCATTTCAAGGATTTGCTCGAAAGTAGTCATATCGATGTTGTCACCGAAATCGACATCGTCACTCTGGGGTTGGGGTTGTTAGCGACTGTACTCGACTCGCATTCAGGATCAAGCCCACCTTCTCTTCGGTTGGCGACATTTTGGCTGTAGTGTTCGTTTATATTCCTTGGACAAATGTATTAGGTAGGTGCGGTGAATCGAGACAGTGCTGAGAAGCTCCGGGGTCGTAGTAGCGTGGGTCCGCGGAGGAGAACGATCTGAGAGAAGAAATGATAGAACCTAGGTAGCCTCGGGGTTAGAAACTCTGGCACAAGAGAGATCAAACAAGCGAGCGCGAAACAAACAAAGACAAGGATTCAACAGCTAGAGCCACTTGGACTTGGACTTGAGCTCGAACAAGGAGAGGAAAGATTTGAAAATTGGAGGTGTTACCGCGGGAGCGGAATGGAACAAGATGTGAGTGGCTGGCAAGGGGTCTCAGATCAAGCGAAGCCATGGCGCCCGAGTGACGCTTGGTTTCTGTCAGGGCGGTAGAAGTAGCTGGAGAAGGGTGGCCGTTGCGTTGCGCTATTCCAAGGGTTGGGTTTGCTTGTACCTGAGGTTGTTGATTGGAGGGGGTGTCCCTTTTTTTTTTTTTTTGAGTTCGCGGGAGCTGCAGCTATCCTGGGGTATGACGATATACAAGACAGGAGCTAGATATCGACACCTTTAGACAGAGGACCAGCAAGAAAGAGGGCAGAAACGAGGAAAGAAGAGCACAAGGAAGAGCACAAGGAAGAGTAGAATCAAAATAAGGGCCTGAGAGATATGGCCTGTGCTTGGTAGAAGGCGGCGGTTAACAAGTGTGTGATGTCGGGTGCTGGTATGTGGGCAGTTAACTCATAAGTGAGGGGCTAACGATGGACAGGGAGGGTCCATTTGCATCCATTCGAAATCAACCATCCCATCCACCCATTCATTCATTCATGGATACGTAGGTAGGTAAGGTAGTCAAGTCAGGTAAGGCAGGCAAGGTACCTCAGGGCTCAGGTAGCCATCTTCAAAGCCATTATCCTCGGACGAGCCATCGCGAGTGGGGTTGAGCCGCTCTAGCAGATGCAGGGCGTCAAAACCGACTGGACTGTGATGTGCTATGGCCAGCCATTCGAGGAGACAGAGACGGGACAGTGAATGAGTGGGGGATGGTGTTGTGTTTAGTGCGGAAAAACCACATTTTTTTAGGCGACCGGTCGAATAGACTACCTAGGTAGGTAGACCAGAGACATTCATGTCCATATTGGGGAGGGTAAAGAAAAGGAATGGAATGGCTGGTGTAAATGAGAGAACATGAGAGAAGCAATTCAAGGGTATCGGAAAAGACAGAATGTGCATATCTTGGCCTTTGGTAGGGAGGAGAGATATGTGATGCGATGCGATGCGATCCATGATGCAATGTGATTGATGTTGATGTTTCCTTACCTGGATAGATCTAATCAGAGTGGGCCGTATGTGGACTGTCGATTCTTTGGTGTAAAGATACTGATTAAGGGCATTTGTCAAGGGGAAAGATTATCAATCTATTCCCTATTCCAATCTCGCGTGCCCTCGTGTATGGGCAGATATCGACTGAGAGCGTGTGGTTGACTGTGAATGTGTGAGTGAGTGACTGACCCAGCGACTTGGAGGTGCTGTTCTGCGGGAGATCCCGAAGCGGGCTGCTCTGGTACGACTGACGACAGTGGCTGGATATAGCGTCACAGGTCTGAGGCACGAGCAGGGAGTAGAATTCGGGGGTGGAGGGGCATGGGCATGGGCATGGGCATATACAAAAGAGGAGAGAAGCCGTTGAAGTTTTTCGTACCCTAAAGGAATAGATGCGAATGGAGATGGCTTATTAGGTCGATAATAGGTAGGTAGAGAGAGAGGGAGAGGGAGAAAAGAGGAGAGTTCCAAGGTTTGTAAATAGAATTGAATCTTTTGGTGGCTGCTGAGGTGACTTCGAATGGAAGAAAGGGCCCTGCCGATTACGTCGGTGCTCACTGTTTTGTACAAGAGTTCACCAAAAGAGACAAGAGAAGAGTGCAAAAAATCGGGGAGAGGACACCAAAATGCACCAACAGAACCCAGCTGTTGCATCATTTGGTTCCATTCCGTCGAGAAGCAGAAGGCCTAGATTCCACAGCTTCCATTGGGGGAGACACCAATCCAGAAGCCGTAAATGATCGTCCATCTCTTATGTACTATGGTATTGGGCATAAGTAGGGGCCATTTTCAGTAGCTTTGGTGGTCTGTGCGCTGTAACTGCACTGTAATTTAGTGCTAATTGCACTGAGAGGGTAAGTATACTTTATTCTAATTGGCTCGCTTAATCTTGCTTAGCTACTATTTATAGTATTTATGGCGTATTTCTTATAGCGTTATAGATATAATAGTAGCCTGTATATAGAGGTCCTTACTAAAAGTTTTATCTTGCCTCCCTGTTTGTAATAGGGGACTCTAGGAGGTTAGAAAAAGTAATAAAAAAGGCAGTATATATTTTCCTTACCTATAAACCTTATATAACCCTTCTATAAGCTATTAACTAATTTCTTAAGCTTTTTAATAATCTTATAAGTCTTTTAATTATAACCTTAAATATAGATATTATAATAAAGGCTTTTATTATATCTTTTAAGGCCTTATATAGTAATAAGTCCTTTACTAAGGTTATTAAAATATTAAGACTTTTAATTTATTAGGTTAACTAAATATATACTTATATAATTAATCTTTAATTTTAAATTAATAATTTTAAAAGATAAATATTTTAAAGATAAACTTTAATTAAGGTAACTAATAAAGGCAATAAAAGAAATAAAAAAGCTTATTATTAGTAAGG